TGAATATAAAAGCGTTTTCCAAATCTTTCCAGGTACTATGGACATTCTGTTTTGTTATTATTAGTTACTTTGTTTTAATAAATTTGTTTCGTTTTTGCCTTGAAAAGTCCACATTCAACGAAATGCGTCGGCTAATATTATAGTTTTCCTGTTGTCTTTTACATTTAAAAAAATGTATTTTTCTACACGTTAACTCTGAGAAAATATATATATATATATATATATATATATATATATATATATATATATATATATATATATATATATATTAGTGCAAAATATACATACATATGCAAAATATATAAATACCCATACATGTATATTTTTAGAAAAAAAAATCCAAGAGGAAGACTCCAGGTAGAACTCAAAGTCTAGGACAGAGTAAGGATATAATAAAAAGGCTTAAACACTAATATTCCATGGTCATAAGTTATTCCATTGGAATCGTAAATACGATCCAATTCATCAGACCTACAAATTCAAAAAGAAAACAGAAAAAAAAAACCACTCCGGAAATAAAAACAGAATTTAGCGAGAGTGTAAGTATGAGGAGGAGGGAGATTAAACCTTAACAGAGAATTTTAGGAGAGAGATGGGTGGAAAGGGTTTAATTAAGAGAAAAAATGAATGTTGACGGATGTCTAATGCATAAAGATACATTTCGTGGTGACATACACACACCATAGACAATCTAATGTTAGAATAAGAGGGAGGGAAGGTCGAGGTGGGGGAGAGAGATGGGACGAAGGAAAGTAAAATTGAGTTTACTTAAAGGGCCGCTTTGTAATTGAGAAAATTTGACAAATTTAATATCGACTACAGGTTACAAATCAAATATAAATATATGAAGATAAATATAACGATTATCTAATCCAGCAAGGACCTATATATCTATGTTCAAAAACACATGCGAATACACACAATTCAAGTAGTACAAAAATATGTTTTTTTCATTAGTACACGTATTTATACAAATGTTTGCGTTGTTATCCATTACCGAACCTTTTACATAATGCCCATCACATTGTCAGCCGTCTTTCGTTTAAAAGCATAAAGAAAAAAATTACTGCCATGGATAACAACGCATAACTTTGTATAAATATCTCCAATGTCCATTTGTCGGTATTCTGATATTGTAGAATTTTAAATTTCGGGATTCTGATCTTTCGTGATTTTATAAATTCGGGATTTCAAATTTCAGAATTTCGTTATTTGGGATATTAAAATTTGGCACCAGTATCACCCATGTTAACGGGACTCAGGATCGAGGTTTTCAGATGATTACTAGAGAGAAGTTTCGATTTGGAGCATTAAAATTAACAAGCAATTCTTGCATTCAGTTAAGAACAAACTGAAGTTTATTTATAGTTCAGCTGCCAATTTCACTATATTGAACTGATTAGACATATTATCGAGAGATATGTAAATGTTTGTGACATCTGCATGGGGAACCAAGTTGGATCTGGAAGTTAAACTCATAGATACCATCTGTAGAGTCGCACCTTACAGCATATAGACAGCTTATTGACCCTGATGTGCTTACGATGTGCGCGTGTTGGGTAGTCGAATGACAGGAAGCTATATAAGCTCACCAACCGAGAGGGAAATGACAGAAAGTCTATAATATCCCCGCAAGAGATCGACCTCCGGAGAACCCACCACTAACATCCCACAGCCACTCGACAATATTATGTGATGAAGTCATGGGATGAATAAAGAATAGGGTTACGTGTGAGATATTTAGTTGCGTGTTTTTCATTGTCTGTACAATGATGCTACCAACTTAACAGAATTAGAGATTAATAAAAACCTAAAAACAACCAATGTAAGGACAATAGTAAGAATAAAAATGGTAGGAATTAGTAATCTTCCAACGTCATCTCAGCAGAGTATGTCAAATGGAGAACGTTCAACGAGTCATTCACCTGTAGGCAAGCAAAGGCCATGTTGATGGAAGACAAACGTGTAACTCAAATGATTAATAGGTATATATATGTGTGTATATATATATATATATATATATATATATATATATATATATATATATACACACATATATATATATATATATATATATATGTGTGTGTGTGTAGAAAATAGGAAAGAACACGTTAGATAAATAATCCAGGGTTCTTTAGTATTTTTGTTTTTATTTTTAAAACAGTGCTCCATACAGAAGTAGAGCTTAGATTATAATTATTTTTAAAAAAAAAAATATGATTCCGTCGCTACATAAGAGTTCTCATGTTTCAAAAACGAGAGCCGAAACCCTATATATATATATATATATATATATATATATATATATATATATATATATATATATATGGTCGTGCGTGGTCTCATTGATTTGGATATATCAATGTTCAACAATTAAATAAAACCAGAGATGACATGGTGTTAGTAACAACTTGTGTTAAAGATATATATATATATATATATATATATATATATATATATATATATATATGTGCGTGTGTGCAACACTGACAAGTCCTGCAGCTAAGCTGTCCCCAAATATAATACCTGTATTATTTTGATCGTGTCGGTACGACATGCAATTGAGTCATGTAGCCAGGGCGGAGCATGACGTCCATCGACAAGCGCCCTGGCGAGGTGACTCTAGCGCCCGAAGAAATGATTGAATTTTGACCAGACAGGGCACCACTTTTATCTGACGAGATAAACTGATGACTAAGTTTTAAAATGTATTTTTACAAATGAATAATCTTTCTTGAACCTTTTATTTTAGTTTTAATCTCAGGCTAATAGATTAAATTTAATATTTTCAATAAGCAAAATAATTTGCTGCATTTCAAATCAAATTTAAATTTTTACCAGCACTCTGGTATTTACTCATTCCCCCACGAGAATGAGATGTGACACAAGGTCGGTTTAATGTGGGGACCCGACCGCGTACACTCGGGCAGGGACAAAAATTCACCTCAGCCTCCGCAACCGTAGGTTGCGCAGGCCTCGGTGCGATCCCCGATCCCTCCCTCTAGTGCAATAGGAGGGCGCGGCCTCGGGCAGCTGTTCCCCAGGGCTGGGCAGTATAATTTTCCTCAGTTTCCCCTCCGTCCTCAGACACAGAAGCCTTTGAGCGCACTGTGTCTCCCAAAAGTAAAATATACTTTTCTGATATTTTATTCAACGAAGATTAAAATAATTTATTATGAAACAAATATTATTAACTTTTAGTTTAAAATATCGCAGAATAGCATTTTTAACACGAAGATTGGTAGTTCGTTTTGGGATGGTGATAACGACACCGTCAGACATATATTTTGAACTTTTTCTATGGGATTATATCTCCAAAAATAACTTAAGGAATATCACATAAGCGCCTTCCTTATATAATATTGTAACGACCCAGTCATCTTAAAAGAATAGAAAAGTAATATAAGTAATCTAATATTTCATTGAATTTTACTTACTATATCATTAAATTGTTGACACTCTTGTTTTCGGTATGGACGCCCTTACTTGAAAAAATTGGCGAATTTATATACACACGATAAAATTCAAATATATTTTCATAATAATGATGATCGCTGAATTTTAATAAGCGTTTTCATTTATGATTAGTATATATCGTTTTCACCGTAAAACGTCTAACCTTCGCTGTATACATTAATAGAGTAAAAGTTAACTTACCACTTAAAAATCCTTATAATTTAGAAAAAATGAAAAACATTTTTGCAGATATCCATTATTCATCGAAATATTCTGAAGAGACTAGTGTTTGTAATATATCTTATTAATAAAAGCAATTAATATAATATCATATTTTTATGGTAGTTTTTATTTTCCGATTCAGAAAAGATTTTTTAAAAAATTGATGATTTAAATAATTGATGATTGATGATATGTCCTGTAAGATTCATTAAAATCCAAGAATAATTTGGTTCTTGCAAGAATTTCTAAATCAATGTGTTTTTCACTACAAAAATTCATATAAAAATTATTCTCACTTGCTGACGCAAGAAAAAAATAACCAAAATTTTATAAAATATTAAATATTATAATTTAATCATTAACATTTCCTATGGTTTTACCTCTTAATAATAAGATAACATGTTGACAAAAAAAACTTCTTTTTATTAAATTTGGCGCATTTTGTCAAGATATCAGCTCATTTTTGCCAAATCTTTGGAGGTACACACACACACATATATATATATATATAGTGGACTCCTGTTGTATTCGACGCATGAGGGTCAGGCAGCTAAGTTTCTATCAACCGACAGCTAGACACCAGCACATATAATCTGATTATAGTGGTGAAGGCTTTGTGCAGAACCAAACACTTTTTTTGAAGATCCGAATACAGTGCACGACGTGCCACAAGTTCCGCAAACGACCCTACGCAGGTTTTTGAATTCAAAGTTGTCCTTCTCCTAGACCAGATTCCAAACAAGGCCATACAACCCAGCTTGCACTGATATTTACCCAAGGGTATTAGCACGTAATAAATTTAATTGATTCGACTGGAAAATTGCCTTCAAGCATGAATAAAATCGTCTCCGTTTGAATTTGACATTTCCACTTTTATATTTCTATACGCCCTATCTCTGACATTGAGAAATTTGACCCATAAATATACCATATCATAAAACTGTATTTTTACATAGCGGAAAAGGTTAGTGTTTGAAATGTTTTAGATCCTAACTAGTTCTACTTTTTCGATGTTTTGAATTAAGTACTGAGCACTTTTTAAATATAACTGTTTTCCAGACAAGTTAGAACTTGTGTGTAAAACAGTTTTATTGTACTAGTTGATAATAAATCACAGCCTCATTAATATAAATTGATATGAAAACTACTAAAAACAGGTTATTGAACACATTAAAAAGCGACTAGGCACATAAGCTTAATCAATAATACCAAAGAAGAACTGATGTAAAAGAGATATAGTATAAGGAGGCGATTTCTTTGGTTTCAGTTGAGTTCAAAGAGTTTAGTGCAAGACCATTGTGTAGAATGGCTCGCTGATGTAATTAGTTCATATGTATGAAGTTAAGAATATATCTGCACAGAAATGAAAGCCAAAATATTAAGAGAAAGATCTTGAAAGAGACGGCGAGAAACAAAGTGAAGAGAGAAAAGAACGACTGGAAAATATGAGAGAAAGACCTGGAAAGCGACAGAGAAAAACAATGTGAAAGAGAGAGAAGAACTATAGAAAAAGAGCTAGAAGGAGACAGGAGGAAATAATGAGAAAGAGATAGGCGTAAAATATAGAAACAAAGGGAGAGAAACAACGAGAAAGACAGAGAAAAAGGATTGGGAAAGTTAAGGAGAAAAAAACTCTAGGAAGAGTCGGAGAAAAACAATGAAAAAGAGAAAGGAGAAAGATTGGGAAAGATAAGGATATAAATATCTAGAAAGAGACGGAAAGTAACAATGAAAGGGAGAGACGGGAAGGATTGGGAAAGATAATGATATAAATATCTAGAAAGAGACGGGAAGGATTGGGAAAGATAATGATATAAATATCTAGAAAGAGACGGGAAGGATTGGGAAAGATAATGATATAAATATCTAGAAAGAGACGGGAAGGATTGGGAAAGATAATGATATAAATATCTAGAAAGAGACGGGAAGGATTGGGAAAGATAATGATATAAATATCTAGAAAGAGAGGGGAAGGATTGGGAAAGATAATGATATAAATATCTAGAAAGAGACGGAAAGGATTAACAATGAAAGGGAGAGATAAATATCTAGAAAAGATAATGATATAAATATCAAGAAAGGGGAGACGGGAAGGATTGGAAAAGATAATGATATAAATATCTAGAAAAGAGACGGGAAGGATTGGGAAAGATAATGATATAAATATCTAGAAAGAGACGGGAAGGATTGGGAAAGATAATGATATAAATATCTAGAAAGAGACGGGAAGGATTGGGAAAGATAATGATATAAATATCTAGAAAGAGACGGAAAGTAACAATGAAAGGGAGAGACGAGAAGGATTGGAAAAGATAATGATATAAATATCTAGAAAGAGACGGAAAGTAACAATGAAAGGGAGAGACGAGAAGGATTGGAAAAGATAAGGATATAAATATCTAGAAAGAGACGGAAAGTAACAATGAAAGGGAGAGACGAGAAAGATTGGGAAAGATAATGATATAAATATCTAGAAAGAGACAGAAAGTAACAATGAAAGGGAGAGACGAGAAGGATTGGGAAAGATAATGATATAAATATCTAGAAAGAGACGGAAAGTAACAATGAACGGGAGAGACGGGAAGAATTGGGAAAGATAAGGATATAAATATCTAGAAAGAGACGGAAAGTAACAATGAAAGGGAGAGACGAGCAGGATTGGGAAAGATAATGATATAAATATCAAGAAAGAGACGGAAAGTAACAATGAAAGGGAGAGACGAGAAGGATTGGGAAAGATAATGATATAAATATCTAGAAAGAGAAGGAAAGTAACAATGAAAGGGAGAGACGAGAAGGATTGGGAAAGATAATGATATAAATATCAAGAAAAGAGACGGAAAGTAACAATTAAAAAGGAGAGACGAGAAGGATTGGGGAAAGATAATGATATAAATATCAAGAAAGAGACGGAAAGTAACAATGAAAGGGAGAGACGAGAAGGATTGGAAAAGATAAGGATATAAATATCTACAAAGAGACAGAGAGAAACAATGCGAAAGAGATGAGAACGATTATGAAAGATAAGGAGAAAGCAAGCTAGAAAGGCAGGGAGAGAAACAACGAGAAAGAGAGAAAAGAACGATTGGGAAAGATAAGGAGAGAAAAAATCTTGAAACAGACGGAGTGAAATAATAAGAAAGAGAACGGAGAAATATTACAGCATATAAAGACAGAGAGATTGTAAAAGCATGTTTGAGAAACACCGAGAAAGAGAGCGAAGAACTATTGGAAAAGATAAAGAGAATAAGATATATAAGGAGACAGAGAGGAACAATAAGAAAAAGAGGGTAAAATATGGAGAGACATATCTAGACATAGACGGAGAAGAACAGTGAGAAAGAGGGAGGAGAAAGACTGGGAAAGATAAATGGAATATGATCCAGAAAGACACAGATGAAACAACGAGAAAGAAGAAAGTTTCGGATACATAAGGAGACAAACATCTATAAAGAGACAGAGAGCAAGATTCAAAAAGTGATGGAGAGAGAGAGAGAGAGGTGGGGGGAAGGATCAGAGATAGAGAAGTAAGGAAATCGTCAATTATTACATTTATAATTGAATTTTGAGTATTTTACTAGAGCCCAATTTAACTATGAGATGTTTGTTTACGAAGGTTAACATGGATATTGAATCTTGAAAACGCTGAATGCCTCCACAATGCAGAGCTGTAACCACCTCAGCAAATGTAACCAGATTTTTTATTTTTCAATCAGTAGATTCTCATGCAAACCAAACGTATATCTTTTAGATTCTCATAAAATCCAAACCTGTATCTATCTTTTTGATTCATGTCAAAATCAAACATGTCTGACTTGTTTAATCACCTAAAAACAAACATATCTACCTTTTCTAACACGTTTGGAAACCAAACAATGTCTACCATTTTTCTCTCGTATAAACCAAAATTATATCGGTAATTTTACTCTCAGACATGATGTTCTTTACTTCAGAACAAATCATAGTGTAACCGAGGATCAAAATTGGAAGCCTCCTTCAAATCCCATCGTTGATAGAGAAGAATTTTAATTTCGGTTCAATTTTGTTGTAGTTCTCTGCTGTATTCGGCTTAAGGAATTCGCACTTTTTACACTTTGTATAACTTCAACTTATTGAACTTAAGCAAATCTACGATATATTTATTTATTTCCTTCGGGCCTGCAATATTATTTTATGTTTTCATTGCAAAAATACTTTTTATGCGACATCCTCTAGACAAATGTAATTTAGTAAACTTGGAATTCTCAATTAGAACTAATTTAATATTTTTCACTGAAAGTTAATTTAATATTCTTCTCTGTAAGCGTTTTATTCATAAAAGCAAATACACTAATAAAAAAACATTTATAGTTTATTGACTCCCGGGCACACCAAAAATATGTCTACCGTTTTTAGCTTTTATAAAGAGCAAAAACATATTTCAAGAAGGCTAAACCGAAGTGTACAGTTTTTGTCTCTCATACAGAGTAAAAACATGTAAAGTAATCCCTCGATTAATGCGTATTCGATTAGTGAGTATTCGATTTGTGCGCTAACATTTTTATATACCAAAATTCGGTAAGTGTATGTATAGTACTCGATGTGAGCGGTAAAACATTTTTCACTTTAACCATAGTAATTGAAAACTGAATTGTTATAGTTACCGATTAATCAAAAAAATTTAAAAAATATTTAAATGGAAAATGGTAACTGTTTTGATTGTCAAGTATTACGTTATCTAATTACGGCACTCTTTAAAAACTAGAATGTTATAAGTAGACAATTTTTGTAAAATAAGACGATAATATTTAAATACTTATATTTATTAAAAATATTTGAATATTTTGATTTTTTCAAGTTTAAATAAACCGAAATTTCTGATTTTTGTTAAAAAAAAATGGACAGATGACTGTGATACAGAAAACTACATTTATTAAAAAATATCGAAATATAAAAGATGTATGCATTTACGATGGAAAGATTATAAATAAAATTTCCAGTTTAAAATACTTACTTGTATGATATATTTTAAAAATTTGAAGGGGCAATTTCTCAGTACTGCCAATAATATAAAGAACAGAAGAATAGCATGCGGCAAACCACTCGAAATTTGTCTTTCATTGCAATCAGATTTATAAAGATTAATTCCAACCATTTTATTGTATCTCATATATCGACTATATTTCGATTAAAAAGTACGCAGATTGGAAATTAATTGTGAATGAGACTAAAAATTGAGGTAAATATTCATCATTTCCTATAGTTTTTTTTATATTCGATAATGCGTTTTCGACCAGAGCGAATCTTTTAATGTAGACTAATCTAGGGTCCTTGCATATCTTTTTTAATCTCTGACAAATCAAACCTATGTCTACTTTATTGATGTTTGTGTAATATCTACCGTTTTTATCTTTCTTGAAGGCATATCTTTCTTTTTTAGTCCAATCCAAACCTGTCTATATCGCTTACAATTTTGAAAGTCAAACATATCTACTGTTTCTGCATCTTTATGCAAACCAAAAAGGTATCTACTTTTTAGGCTCTTAGGAAAACCAAGCCCATGTCGTCGTTGAAATTTATGAAAGTCAAGCCAATGTCTACTGTTTTCCGTCTCTTTTTTTTCAATACTTTTCTACCTTTTTAGCTCTCAGACAAACCAAACCCGTATCTATATTATTGGCATTTGAGGAAGCCAGACCTATGTTTTCTGTTTTTGTCTCTCCTGTAGGCCAAACACATGTCTACTTTTCTGTTTCTCGGGCAAACCAAACCTATGTATACATTGTTGACACTTGAGCAAGCCCAAACAATGTCGATCATTCATGTTAAAAACATATCTACCTTTTTTTACCCTCAGCAAATAAGACATGTGTATACTCTTCTCAAACAACCCAGTTGGATATTAAATAATATGAAAAAATGCTTATGTGTTTTAAACTAAAAGAAACTAATCTATACTTGTAAACATATGCCTTACATACTGTCGTCACGAGATACGTGAGATAGCCAGGATCTAAAATAGATGCATTTATAAAACCGCACTGAATATCGTGTCAAAATTTGATTAATCTACTTCAGTTAAGATCGAACGAGGGATGGCTCACCACTATAACGCCATATACGTCTGTCCGTGGGAAAAGAAGAAATATTTGAAAAAGAATTGAACAACACGTAGAAGAGGCGGTACATTTGTGCTCTAGATCTTGGTATAGGCTTGATTGTTCAACAGCGTCCCAATAGAAATTCGCAACATCGAAAGATAAATCGAATTAAGAGGTCCTACGCGTCAGGCTCTGATCGCTGACATTGTCCAGCGCTGTCTTTTATAATACAGATGTAAGTGCAATGAGCTACGCACTGAAAGGCACTTGTACAATTGATATTCTCTCGAGGGAGAGCTGTACATAAAACTATCTGCGTATAAACGCTTCTTTGCCTTAGTTCGACCGTATATATCTAATTCGTATCCAATAATTCATATAATGTATTCAGGTGTATGCAACGTTTTTCAGACATGAATATATATAAAGTTAGATCGTTCAACAGCAAAATAAAAAATTATCTAAATGTTGGACAATTTTTACTTTATTTTATGCCGAAACTAAAGCAACTGTACGAAGCTTGGAACGGCTCATGATCCAGCATAATAGATACTCGTTGAATGTTGTATTTAACAACATATATATATATATATATATTTAGGCAGCAAATTCTTTTAAGTACGTCTGACTAAATAAATTAGAAATATTATGTCTTATTTTTATCATAATCCCTTCATATTCACGAATATTATTCCGTATATCACAATTAAATAAGGCAAAACACTGTAAGAGAGAGAATCACTTTTATTTTACAAGTACGTAGTAAGGCAAAAACTAAAAGAAAATCGGCAATATATATATACACAGTTTTTGCCTTGCCAGTTACACCATGGATGATAATCTCAGAAAGAGATTCAAATTACTTGAGAAATAAAAGTGATTATCACTGTTATAGTGCAGTTCTTATTTTATTTAATTGTAATATACGGAAAAAATATTCGTTAATATTAAAGGATTATGATAAAAATAAGCTGACAATTCATGTATTTTGCTCAATCAAACACACAGATATATATATATATATATATATATATATATATATAATTAATCTCATTTTTCGTTTCATTTCGTTGTTGGAAGTGTTAGCTAATGATCCGGCGTCCTTTTAAAAGGACTCTGGTGAAATAAATTATTGTAATGGTACCTTAAAAGTGGTCTGTTTTTTTTTTAAAATTTATATATATATATATATATATATATATATATATATATATATATATATATATATATATTTATTTGTATGGTCTGAGAAAAAAAAATATTTTGATAGGTGCAATAATAATAAAACTACGACATATATTAATTATATTTAATGACCTTCGAAGTAGGTCACTTTAACCAGCCTCGATTCACATTCCTGGATGTCCTTCTCTGTGATAGCGAGCAGCTGCCTCTTTTTTGTGAATTTCACCGGCATTTCCCTTTCCTCAATTCTCTTTTACATATGCGAAGAGATGCTCCAGCTTTCACTGTCATATACGAGGACCGATATTACATAAGGTTTCATTACTATCTTCTTCGTTTCTAATGCAATTTTTCTGTTTCTTAATACGTTTCTTAGCTTTTAGAAGGCATCTTTCATTATGTCATGTGGTTTGCTTCCAGTATAGATTCTGGATTATTCTAATATCCTTCCTGAATATGCCAAGATTACTTAGTTTCCAGGATTCTTTCTGACATACTTTTTCAAACATTTGCATAATCTATAAAACAGGTATACATTTATTTTATTTCCCAAATTTACAAATCAACCATTTTCATTTGCATGGAGTATTGCTGCTATATATGGTCTGGTGGCCCTTATGTTTGTCTCAATGTTCTTGATAAGATCCAGAGAAGGATATGCAATATAATTGGCCCTGATCTGGCATCTCGTCTGCAGTTGCTCTTTCATAGACGTGTCGTCGCCCCCCCCCTCTGTCTTTTTTTTACAAATACTTTCATGGTAATTGCTCTGATGAGCTGCTTTCGCTGGTTCCCCGACTTCAAGAGTTCAAGCGCCCTACGAGGCTGTCATCCCGCTCTCACCCTTTCACTGTCGAAACTGTTAAACGGCACCGTCTCTTCTACTCCAATAGCTTCATGTCTCTCACCTCTCACCTGTGGAATTCCCTCCCCTCTTCCTGTTTCCCTGATAGCTATAATCTACAACTATTCAAATGTAATGTCAATCGACGTCTCCAGATACCCTGATCTATCCTCTATCCTTCTTGTCATCCTTTCCACTATCACTTCTATTTCCTCTAGCTCCAACTCTCTGAAACCCCTTGCATGCTAGTAGCTTCCCGCCTTGCCCGGGGTGAAACGCTTAAAAAAAAAATGCATAAATTTGCATTTTTATTGAAAGTTTTAGATTACTCATGTATTATTGCCGTGCACATATAAACTTTTGACGAAAAATCATAACATTATTACTGCTCTCGATATATTTAGATTACTCACTGGAACCTCATAAAATTTTCTCATTTTAATTTTAACTGTTTTCTTGTCAATGGTATAACTGTTACGCCCAATGCATGTATAAAATAAATGGCGCAGTATAAATTCCCTGAAGACTACAAAGATAATAAAGTTAGGTCCTATTAGAAACTATTTTCCAAAAAATTTGACGAACTGTTAAAAAAAGTATTCAGAAACAGGAATTATTACGTAGATTATTTTACAATGCTAATAAATTTTTTAAAAAAGCTTGGCTCATTGGTGTTTACATAAAATGGAATTTATTGTATAGCATAAAAATGTTTTTCGGATCTCCAGTAAAACATTTTATTTGAATTTTACACATTTCTATATGAAAAATAATAGAACGTCAACTGCGAAAGATATAATTTTATTTGTGAAATAGTTAAAGTAGAAAAAAATGTTAGTTTCATTTAAGAATAGGGCATATGATAAAAGGATAATTTCATTTGAGAATAGGGTAAAAGCATATGAAAAAAAGAATAATTTCATTTGACAATAGGGTTAAGACATGGGAAAAAGATAATTTCATTTTAGAATAAGGTAAAGCCATATGATCAAAGGATCATTTCATTTGAGAATAGGGTTAAGATATATGAGAAAATGTTAAATTCATTTTAGAATAGGGAAAGACATACGAGAAAAGGATTTTTCATTTGACAAAAGAATAAAGGCCTATGAGAAAAGGATAATTTAATTTGAGAATCGGTTAACGGCGTATGAGTAAAGGATAATTACATTTGTGATTTGCGTAAAAGCTTATGAAAATGGATAATTTAATTCGAGAATAGGGTTAAGACATGAGAAAAGGATAATTTCGTTTCAGAATACGGTTAAGACATATGAGAAAAATAAATTTTAGTTGAAAATAAGGTAAATGCATATCAAAAAAAGGATAATTTACTTTGAAAATAAGGTAAAAGCATATAAGAAAAGTATAATTTCGTTTGAAAATAGGGTTAAGACATGAGAAAAGAATAATTTCATTTGCGAATAAGGTAAATGCATATGAGAAAAGGATAATTTCATTTGAAAATAGAGTAAAAACATGAGTGAAAAGAATAATTTCATTTGAGAATAGGGTAAAGGCATATAAGAAAAGGATAATTTCGTTTGAGAAGTCAAAAAACATATGAAGAAATGACGAATTATATCTGTAGTAAATGACCGAGCCGTTAATTTGCAATCTATGGCATGTGTACCTAGAAAGAATGAGAGCTGAGAAAGAGATGTTATTTGTAAAGTTCCAAATTTAAAAGTTGGAAGCAATAAATATTTCGAAATAATTTCAAACAATAAACATTGAGAAACATAACTATAATATATTTTCTAACAGACTATGTGTGTGAGTGTGTGTGTGTGTTTATATTATGATAATATTTTAGAGATAATTCAAAGCAGGATTTCCAGTGAATACTGCACGTCTTTCATAAATAAAAGTACAGTAACAAATTCAATGACTGGGGATACGTTTATTGCCCGGCGCCTGAAACGTTCCCAAAAGTGTAAGTGCCGAGGGGTTTTGGACATTTTTCCACGGTACAACCGATAAGCCCACTTTAAACTGACCTTGTGTCGCATCTGTTGCGTGGTGGCTAGACTGGTAAATACCTATGTAATTCGTACCTCAAGTCATAAGAAGACCATCGGACGAGGCTTTACCTCAACATCAGGAGTGGGATGAGTTTTATAGCCCGGCGCCTTAGGCCTCCCCAAAAGGGAAGTACCGAAGAGGTTTGGAAATTTTTCCACGTCCTGCTGATAAATCTACTTTAAACTGACGTTTTGTCACATATGTTGCGTAGTGGTGGAACTGGAAATACCTATAATTACGTACTTCAAGCCCCTGGAGTCATACCCAAGGCTTTACCTGTCCCTCGGAAGGCGGCCAAGTTTATTGCCCCCGGACAGAGGCGTCCCCAATATGGAATGTGCCGAGGAGATATGAGTATTTTTCTTGGGAAAGATTTCTATATTTTTTAATTGTTTTCTTATGAGAGAATAGGATAAATTTATAACTTAGTGCGTATAGAAATTATTCAAATAGTTCTTCGGTCTTGGTTAATCTATCAAATCCAAGAAATATCTGTAACGTTATCAGTCTTCATCTGGCATCTCTACTGCTGTCATTTTCTGGCCGATGTGATATATCTTCCCTCTCTCTTTTCTAAAAAATATTCTCAGTACAATTTGTCATCCATCGACTGCATGAGTTTAAACGTAGTACTAAATTGGCAACTAGGTCCCACTATTTTACTGTTGAAATAATTAGATGTAACCGTAAGTTTATTCAATTGTTTATTTTCTCGCAATTCCCGCCTGTTGATATCTCTTCCAATTGTTTCATTCGATGCCACTATACAATCTTCAACTATTTAAATGCAACGTCAATCGAAATCTCGTTGTTCAAATATATAAATGCAACGTCAATCAAAGTCTCGTTGTTCTTTTATTGTCTTTCGACCTCATTTTCTTTCTATCTCAGTAGCCAATCGTGCTTTAGTGGTGTTATCGCCTTCCTTGAGATGAAATGATTAAACAAAGAGAAAATAGAAAATGGATTATATGAAATAACAAAAGTGAGAAAATTAGTTTTGGGAGCTACAGACTACAGGAAACTGATCGCTT